GGTTCTCAGCTCTACCTGCTGAGAACTGGGTCTCAGCTGTCCATTAACAAGTTAAAAGGAAAGAAGCTGAAACTCATACTGAGTAAGAGTCCGGAGTCCACGCGCCTCAAGCAGTCTCTTTCTCTTTGTTTTTAAATGCTACTGTAGTGTTGTTTCTCGCTGTCTGAAAGGACCACAGCGTCTAAAACGCTGATTGTCATCCTCAGTGGGAGAACAGGTTTCCAATTTCATCAGCTGGAACGAAGTTGTGTGTGTATACTCGGCTTAAAACACTAGAGAAAACGTGGCCTTCCCAGGGCAGCGCTTTTCCTGGGTAGACAGTAAACCAACAATTCGCCCCAGATTTTGACTCCTTTCGTTCCTGGCTGGCTCATCCATCTCTTTAGAGAGTCTTCCGGGTGGAGTCACTGGAGTCAATCAGACTGGGGAAGGGGTCACTATGATCTTGAGGGGCTCGAGCGTTCCCACCTAAGGTCGCAGAGCATACCTGCTGGCTAAGGGACTGAGCCCTCGGGTAGCCTTAGTGCGAATTGCCCCTTGGGGGCCAAAGGAGCACAGGCACTGGTTCCGCTGGCTTCCGGAGGCTGGAGGAGGGAATCTGGGAGAGTTTTTAGTGTTCTACTCCTGGGGAAAGCTCCGAAAAAGGAGAAGTAGCTCAGAGAGAGCACATGAGCCACCTGCGACTCTCCTCACCTTAACACTGACCCTTTTATCCATCTCAACGCCACCTACTCCACCAGAGAAGGGCAGAGTGTGAGCGGCGACAGTCTGGCCCGCAGTGCGCTTCGGGTGGTGCTTTCCCTGCTGGGGCCCCGGGCCGTACGCGGGGCAGAGGTTGATGCTGGGCCCAGGGCCACCGGCCAAGGGAGAAACGTCCGACCGGGCCCTGCCAAAGAAGAGGAGCTGTCGTCCCGACCTGCCAGAGACTCTAGAAACCAAGGCCGCTTTCCTGTGCCGTCGACCTTCTAGCGACAGGGCAGGGAAGAGACGCGCTTTCTGGCTGGCACTCCTCCGCCAAAGGCGCGGGTGAAAAGCTCAGGTCCAAAAGCCGAGGCCGAGGCCTCAGGAAGCAGAGGAGACAGAACATATCGGAAGCAGGGAACAGGCGGCGGGGCCTAGGCCGCCTCCTAAGTAGGCTCCTAGGCTCGAGGCGGCTGCCCTGGACCCGAAGCGCGGCGTCGGAGCACCAGGAAGCGTTCCCCCTGCGGCCGGGCCAGGATCCGCCTGGGGCCTGGACGGCTTTATCCCGCCGCCACGCGGCCCGCTCCAACCCCACAGTGGTGCGGACGCGGGCGCCTAGTGCCTCGCCCAGAATTTAGCTCCACAGCTTAAAAAGGAGACCCGGACTTGGGCCTGCAAGGTGGCTCCGGGGTCCACAGGACGATGGCAGCTCGTTGTCCCGCGAGGCTCCGGCTACCACCTCTTTGGCCCTTCCAGGGCAGCCTCGCAGCCTCTGTTCCCAAAGCCTCGGCCGGCCGGGCCACCAGGCCCTGTGCCTGGAGATGAGCTGTGATGAGGTTCCCGGGACGCGCACGATTCTCTGTGAACTGGTAGAGAAGAGCCTCGGCCAGGGCGGGGAGGAGGGAGCTGCGGCGCCCCGACTCCCCGTGCCTCCGCAGGACAGAGTGGCAAGAGCTGCCTCCGGAGTCTGCGGGTGGCAGGGGGAGCTCCCCCAGCGTTGTGCAACCGGAGACGCGCGGAATGGAAGCCTCTGGATTCCCGGGACCTGGAGTTCTGCCCGCAGACTTTACCAAAGACCTCCCGGAGGGGGAGGAGGTAGGAGCGAAGCCCCCCTCGGCCGCAGCCGCCGCCGTAGCCGCAGAGGCGGCGGCGGAGCAGAGGAAGGCCGGCTGTGCGCGGGTTCAGGGCCAGGTGCCCGCCCGGCCGTCAAGGTGCGGGGGAGAGGAGCGTAACGACGATCACCGCTCAGCAAACAGAGTCCGCCCATAAGCGCCAATGCCAATGCCTCTTCCTGGAAGCTTCCACTTCAGCTCGGGGTCAAGACCAAGCTGTCCTTGCCTGGAGAATTGGTTCAAGACCCGCAGTGTCCGGCCCCAGGGGCGCCTGTCTCCTTGCCTGCAGCTCGTGGGGCTCTGATGGCTCTGGAGCCCCTACTTGCTAAGCCAAAATCTCGGAACCGCCAGCCAAGTCCCTTTGCCTCCGAATAGTTAGGAAGCTTCGTTCTCAGCCAAGAGGTCAACACGAGCAGGCAGCCAGGACCCGAACAATTGTGTGTTCAGATTTAAAACGTCAAAAAAAAAAAAAATCGCACTAGTATTTGTTTTTTCATTTTACTTGGCAAAAGGCTGTAAGGTTTCGTCCTAAAAACACTATTTATAAGCCGTCGTTCATTACTTTTGGCTATCATTAAGAAACCTGCAGAGGAGAAACGAAAAGTGGCTTTTGATTCAGTTAAACTGCGACGCCGAGAAGATAAATTGGATGTCCCTTAACAGCTGGTCCTCGAAGATTTCCTCAAGGAAAAAAAAAATGTGGTTAGTTCCCCCAATGATCGCTCCAAAACGATTGCCAAGAAAACTCACAGCAATATCCAGTTTTCTCGCCTACTCCTGCTTGTCCCTGGTTTCGCCAGACTGAGCCGAGGCCGGCGGAGGGAGGCATATTGTGCAATTTCTTATTAAACACATCTGGAATATGCGCACTCTGGCTCCAGTGCCAGGGATTTTACAAAGAGTTTATGACTGTGACAGAAAATTGTCCTTTTAACGAGTTTACAAGCAGTAATCACAGGGGTTTTTACAGGACTGGCCCGCTCTGCTCCTCACCAGATCTGCAGACATTTCCAAGATTCACCAACTAAGGGAGAGGAAGTGGGCCCGGGCACCCAGGGAGACAGATCTTCCACGAGTCTAAAATTATACCAAGCAGAGCTGGAAGAGTGGGGGGTAGTCATCGGAGTAGGAAGAGAGGGCATGTAAGAAATTAAAGTAATTGGCCCTTCCTTATTTTCCAGGGAGATTTCCGCGGTGTCCTTTGAAGCCTGTCAGGGTCATTGAAAGCTATCTTTGTGCAGGGTGTTTGTTTTGGGGAGTGAATGTGAAGAATGTGCAGAGATCCCCTGTGAGAGCCCCTCCTGCAGAGGGTGGCATTTCTCCGTGGCCCAAGACGTGGAGAATAAACACCCTAGTGACTTAAATAAACACCAACTTAATGATCCAAAACACTAACAAGGGAGATTGGGACCCTGAGCTCCCAATCCAAATGATGGTCTCCCAGCGGCTGTGTGCACATCTGTCCATCACTAAGGGGGAAAAAAATGACTTTATAAGTAAAAGTGACTACAATTAAGTACAGTGATCCTGTCTCCTTTGAACTCAGTCAAAGCTATTTGACATTAAAAAAAAAAAAACAAAAAACCTCATAATAAGAAGGCCTAAAATTCTACCACCACCACCCCTCACACACACAACTCAGTCTCCTAGATCAGGACAGGAAAGACAGGAAAGAGTAAGAAAGAAATGAATATATTAATAGTGACACGGATGGGGAAAAAATCAAAATTATGAAAGTGTCATGTCAGAAAATAAATAGACTCTCTCTGGGGAGCAATATTTTTACAAAGCACAAGCAAGCCAATCCTGTTATCCTGAGTAGAATTTTAATAAATAATGCCATTTGTTTCACTAATTTTAAAAGCTAAATACAAAGATACATCATTTTTGCCCCAGGCAAAAATAATATGGAGCCTACACGATTACTGGGATTTTTCTGGACACTATCTCACAGCAGTGCAAAGAGCCCCTGTCCTGTTGGTCTGCTTTCTATTTATACAGGTTAATTCACAATGTTGTTATCCATGTTCGAGTCCCCCCCACCTTTTTTTTCCCCAAGCAGATATATTATTTTACTTTCACAGTTTTGTCATAAACTCATTAATACAAAAGAGCTGAGTTAACATATGAACGCTGTGGAGAAGAGCTAGTGGTAAACAAAACTGCATATCTAAATAATAAAAAAAATAAATAAATACCCTAGAGCTAACTTCACTCTTTTTCTATCACATAATCAACTCAGTCACCACTCTTGGTTCAGGTGGTGGCCTTCAAAGTACCCTGCAATTCATAACCATCATTAAGTAAGAAAGCAAGAAAACTTCAAAAAAAAAAAAAAATAGGGCCCAATGACAGCAATACACAACTCACCTTTCAGAAACAGAATCGTACTCCTGGTGTTCTACTAAGTTTTAATTTAGACTGGTTTAGGTACAATAGAAAAGAAACCTGAAAACACATGCTGTTTTAGTAACAAATACCAGGTTGCCAGATTTGTCGCATATTTTTGCAGGCTAGAAACTAGGAACAAGAGAAACCCTTAACAGGAGTAGGCTACCAGATATGAAAGCTTCAAGGACATGAGAAGTAATGGCATTCAGGAAAGTGTTTTTGTTTTTTTTTTTTCACATTGGTACATTTTTAAAGTTTGCCATTAAAAAAAACCCAAGAAAACAAACAACAACCAAAAACCCCACTAAATTTGACAAAAATAGTTGTAGCACTAATGGCCACTGCTATTTCTAACTGTCTTACACAGAGAGCATTAAGACATTTAGGCACTTAGTTTTCCCCCTAATACTGTTCTTTCATTTTAATCTACATAAAAGTGTTTAACACTAAATAATGAAAAATGTAAACTTAATTTTTTCCCCATCAAAAAAAAGTTATAAGATCATATTTTTCCTATTCACCTTAAGAATGCAAACATTTTCCTCCTGGCTGGAGGCTTTTATTTTCACTATTTTGACTTCTCTCTCTCTCTCTTCATTTCCTTTTCCTCTTCCCAAATGATTTTGCCATAAATAAATTAAAAGGAAATAAGTAAAATTCAGTTGATTTGTAATTCCCATTCACTGAAAAAAAAGAAAGAAAGAAAGAAAGAAAGAAAGAAAGAAAGAAAGAAAGAAAGAAAGAAAAAAGAAAGGCTACTGAAGCTGGCACATGGATTGCCCAGAACCAAGACTGGGTGAGTGGGTGCTTTTGTTTGTTTGGGTTTTTTTTTGTTTGTTTGTTTGTTTTGTTTTTTTTTTTTTCCTGATCTCTGCACTGGGATGGGAAATGCAAGAGTTGGAGAGAAGAAGGTAACTAACTAAGCTTGAGATCGCTGTTGGTTTTGAGTTTTAAAAAGATATTTGTGAAAGTCCACCATTCCTTTATGCGCAGAGAACCCCAGAAACAAGCTGCAAAAATGTTCCTGATTTCTATTTACAAGTGTCCCTAGTCACTGCTTCCAGGCCCAGTACCTCCCCACTTAAGACCCCAAGTCCACCAGACTGGAGGTGAGAGGGCCCAGCAGGGAGTCCTGGAGCTGATGCTGGTGGGCTTGCAGGCCGTGGCTGGGCTGTGAGGCCGTTAAGCCAGGGAGAGAATAGTTTGAGCTCCTGGCGTGGCCCATATTGCCCTGCAGCAGAAGTACCGAGTTCTGGTCTGGACTTTGGGGAGGTGAGAATTCTTCTTCTGAGCTGGACATGAGCGGCTTGCCCCCTTCCAGAGGAGAGAGTTGATTCTGCTTGTTGGAGGAGGAGTTATTGTTTTCGGTGTTCTCCCTGAGAAATAGAGGACAACACCATATGGTTAAAAAACAAAAAAAAAAAGTAGGTTAAAAAAAAGTGTGAGTGGAGGGAGGGGACCTGGCAGGAGAAGAGAGCCATTGTGCAATCAGTCATATACCCAAATGGAGGAGCTGTGCCCTCCCACCCATCCCCAAGGGTCCTGGGGTGAGTAAGGAGGCAAAGGAGACTGGAGAAATGGGAAACTACTGGCAGAGCTTGTGGGGAGCCACGTCCTTTCCTCTTCCAGATTTTAGAAAGCTAGATCAGCAGGACTTATTTGAAACACAAAAATTATTTTCAAAATTGTGTTCAAGCAGTTATTTTCAAATTCAAAGCGTGGCATCACGCTTTGGAGTAATTAAGTTTGAAAATCGTCCAACAAATGGTCGTTGGTGATAAAGAAAATGATCAGAGGACAAACAGAGCCCAACGCACAGATGTTTGGGGTGAATCAAGTCAATTGTCCTGTTCCCATCTGAGGAAACAATTAAACGTCGAGTTTCCCTGCCCCTGCCCGGAGGTTGTGGTTTCAGAGGCACAGGACAGGTCATGGGAAGTGGTGTCCAGAGCGGCCCAGTGACCTGAGTAAACACAGGGAGCGCAGCCAGTCTCTCCGATTTCATCAGGGAGTGGGCCCTCGGGCCTGACTTATAGGAGGGACCTTTTGTAACTAAAGTCTAACTGGAACCAACTGTCCCCGTCCCCGCGTTAGTCGCTCAGTCCTTGGTCCCTCACAGCTCCCTCTGAACCCCCTCCCGGACATCCACAACCGCGCACCGTTTCCCAGCAGAGGAAACTTCGAGGCCCCGCGCAGCCCGAGACCGGGTGCGGCGTGCCTGGGCGTCGGTCCGGGTGCTGGGTGCTGGTAAACTTCACGGTTTCGGAGCCCCGGCCGCTTCCGCCTTCAGGGTGCTGGCCCATCCTCCTCGGCCCCAGCTCTCCCCCTTTCTCTCCCCTGCCCTGTCCCTCTCCCAGGACAGCCACTGCGGCTCAAAGTATCCAGGCTCCGCGCTTTTCCACCCGGAGGGGGAACGCAGAGGCGACATCTGCGGCCCCCAGGCTCTCAAGCGAACAAAGGAAACCCAGCCCTACCAGGCGCTCAGGTTTCCCCAAAACTCCTCGTCTTCCCGGAGCGCGCTCGCCGCCGCCGCCGCCGCCTCCTTGGGCTCTTCCGAATCTCGTTCGGAAACTCCAACAGCAAACGGATGGAGCCGGGCCAGGTGGCCGGGGGTGTTCGCGCGAGGAGGGCGGAGGCAGAGGCAGGTTAAAATAACATTGCCTTCTGAGCTCCGGAGAGAAGTCTGCCACTAGAGACCCCCTTCCTCAGCCGGGGCGGCGGCGCGGACCGCCAGATGGACCCGCCGCGGCCCGGGACACGCGCGAGGGAGCCCGGAGACGAGCAGTCCTTTCCGGGCTTGGGGCGCCGCGTAATGAGTGCAGCGCCAACTCTTCCAAAGCTCTCCTTTCTGTGGATTTCTTTTGAAAGACTCCTCCCTTTGTACCGCTAGTGCGGAATGAAGCGGCGACCTCTCGCCTAAAAGCCTACCAGGAGAGAGCGAGGAAAGGACGCGGCGGCAGTGGGGGCAGAGCAGATGTCTCAGGCCGGCTCCACACCTCTGGGGAGCAAGAGGAGAGAGGTGCGCGACCCTCAGCCCCCACCGAACCCCTTTCCTCGAGACACCAATCAACACTTCCCTCGTAGTTGATCTAGAAGTTCTCCCTGCACCGCCCCCCCACTCGTCGCCCCAGCCAACCAGGGAGGCACGAAAAACAAACCTAGCGCCAATATTTCCTGACACGCACACCCCAAGAAACCCACGCGCGGGCGCTCAAATCAAATGACTCCCCATCCCTAGCAAGCGATCTCAGAGTTCATGAACTTTCGCTGCAGTACCGCGGAGGCCCGGGCGCCGCCCCGCGGACGGGCTCCAGCCGGCGAAGAGGACGCGGTGGCGAGTGCCAGCGGGGGCGAGAAGGGGCGGAGGGGAAAGGAAGGCTTCCCGGGGTCGCCCGAGCAGCGGGAAGCACGCCGCGTACCTTTCCTTGGCCTCGGCGGCCCGGTCTCTTTGCCTCCGGTTCTTAAACCAGTTGCTGACCTGGGTGGTGGTGAGCCCCGTGGCCTCGGCCAGCTCCCGCTTCTCACGAGGCGAGGGGTACGGGTTGTGCGCGTACCACTCCCGCAGCACACCCCGCGACTTCTCCTTGAAGCAGTAGCTGGTCTCCTCGCCGTCCCAGATGGTGCGCGGCAGCGGGAATTTTCGGCGCACCCGATATTTGCCCACCGCGCCCAGGGGCCGGCCGCGCAGCTTCTCGGCCTCCACGTAGTGCGCCTTCAGCCACAGTTGCTGCAGCTTGGGGTGGTTGTGAGGCGAGAATTGGTGGCTCTCCAGGATCTTGTAGAGCTCGCGGAAGTTCCCGCGGTGGAACGCAACCACGGCCTTGGCCTTGAGCACGCTTTCGTTCTTGTGCAGGTGGTCGCAGGCGGGCAGCGACCACAGGAACCTGCCCAGACGCTCCAGGTTCCCGCCTTGCTGCAGAACTTCGCACACGCACGCCACTTGCTCCTGCGTGAAGCCGAACGACGGCAGCATCGACATGGTTGGGGCCTGCCGAGATGCACTGCCCGGGCGCACGCGGCAGGGAGCAGCGCCTTAAAAGCAGGGGGGCGGCAGCCGCAGGGAGGGGGGCGCAGCTGCTCCTAACCCCCTCCCTAGGATTTCCGTAGGCGAAAAAGCTAATCGAAATTTAGGGCTGGGCGGCCGAGGAAGAAGGCGGAGGGGGGCGCGCTGGACACGGAGAGGCCGGCTCACTCCGCAGCCTTTTTGGGCCTCTCTGGCTCCGGCCTCCCGCCGGGTTGATGCTGCTCGTTGCCGGGGAACTTGGTTTCTGTTCTCCCCGCAGCGGCCTTAAAGCGCGCAGCGTCCCCGGCGCGCTGATTGGCTGCGGGCGGCGCCTATCCGGGGCTGGCCAGCCCGCGCGCCGCCGGGCCGGGCA